GGGGCCAGGGGCGGGTGGGGAGGTAGAGTGGGGCTGGATGCGGGTGGTGGGGGTAGAGGGGGCTGGACCTGGAGCAGATGAAGTATTTAATAACCTATTTTACTTCAGTCTTCACAAATAGGGGCAGCCACCAGATGGTGAGTGCTGCTGGCAACATAGATAGGAAAGGAGACAAAGAGCCTAGAGTAACGAAATAACAGGTTAGGGATTGCTTAGAGAAGCTAGATGTTTTCAGGTTCACAGAATCATAGAAAATTAGAGTAGGAAGGGACCTCAGCAGGTCATCTAGTCCAACCCCCTGTTCAAAGCAGGACCATCCCCAACTAGATCATCCCAGCCAAAAGTTGGCAGGGCCAGATGGGATATACCTTAGGGTACTGAAGGAATTGGCTGAAATAATTTTAGAGCCACTGGCTATTACTTTTGAGAACTCATGGAGGTCCAGTTAGGTCACAGATGACTGGAAAAGAGCAAATATAGTGCCCATCTTTAAGGAAGGGAAGAAAGGGAGAACTACAGACCAATCAATCTGACCTTGACACCTGGAAAAATCATGGAGCAGGAAAAATCTATTGTGAAGCACCTAGAAAAGAACAAGGTGATCAGGAACAGCCAGCGTGGATTCACCAAGAGCAAGTCATGCCTGACCAGTTTGATTTCGTTCCATAAAGTGACAGGCTCTGTGGATGGGGAGAGAGCAATGTATGTGATATACCTTGAATTTAACAAGGCTTTTTGACTCTCCCCCTCACAACATTCTCATTAACCCACTGAGGAAATACAGGCTACATGAAAGTACTGTAAGGTGGATGTATAATTGGTTTGATCTTCATACTCAACAAGTAGTCATCAATAGCTCAATGTCTAGTTGGGAGGAGGTATCAAGTGGGACTCCCCAGGGGTTTGTCCTGGTTCCAGCATTGTTTAATATCTTCATTAATGATTTGGATGAGGGAACTGAATGCACACTTAGCACATTTATGGACAACACCAAGTTGAGTGTAGTTGCAGACTGGAGAAACAGTCTGGAATCAATCAGGTGAAATTCAACAAGGAAAAGTGCAAAGTCCTGACCTTGGGACAGAATAATTGCATGTACTAGCACAGACTAGGGAATGGCTGGCTAGGCTGCAGTACTACAGAGAGGGACGTGGGGCTTACAGTAGACCATAAACTGATTGTGAACCAACAGCATGCTCTTGTTGAAAAAATGCCAGCAGCATAATAGGTATTAATAGGAAGGTTACTTACAATCAAAGGAAGTTATTCTTCTGCTCTGTTCGGCACTGGTGAGACCTCACCTGGAGAAATGTGTCCAATTTTGGGCCTCACACTTCAAAAGCATGCTGACAGTTTGGAAAGTGTCCAGCGCAAAGCAACAAAATGTATTAGGGGCCTGGGAGGCAAGACTTATGAAGAAAGGCTGAAAGAACTAGGGTTATTTAGTCGGAGAAAAGACGACTGAGCGGGGATCTGGTAACAGGCTACAAATACCTGAAGGGTAATTACAGACAGAATGGAGATGGGTTTTTTCTCTGTCGCTGTAGCATGAGTGACTGGTGCCTCCTGAATATGGAGAAGCCACCGACAGCAGTGGTCCTACTGACAGCATCAGTGTCGGCCGCCAGGAGGGGCACCGGCCCCATCAGGGGGGCACGTGCACTCCCTACCAGTCGCCTATGCGCTGTAGGACACAGGATTAGGATCAATGGCCTCAAGATGCAGCAGAGGAAATTTAGGTTGGAGATTAGCAGGAACTTTCTGAAAAATTTCAAGAGCACGGTGGACAAACGCTTGGCTAGTGTAATCAGGGATCATCCTGCCTCGAGCAAGGGGTGGATGACCTTACGGAGGTCCCTTTCAGCCCTACTTTCCTATGATTCTAGAATCCTAGTAAGGAAGGAAAGGCTGAAGCGAGAGTGGAGAGTTTGATATTCAAAGGAAAGGAACATCTGGTGGCAGTGATCTGGTTCGTGATAGAATGCAATGGGAAAAAATGAGTGAAAGTATAAAGGGACGTTGATTTGTCCAACTAGTCTACCTTCACTGGTGTATACTGCCTGTGCTACAGGCAGCCGGGAATAAATCCAGTTTCATATTTGCTGAAGTTTACAAGCAATAAGACCAGATGTATTCCTTAGAGCCTAAAATTCAGAGTCACACATTTTAAGGGCAGAAGGGACCTCTGTGATCACATAGTTCACGTGGACTTCTTGCATATCACAAACCACAGGACTTCCCTGAATGACAGGTCTCTGTTTCTCTCCTTTAAAAACTCTATATTCAGCAAGTTTCTTTTTAGACATTACTATCAGTACTTCCATAGCAAAAACAGAGCAATGTTAATGGAAAAGAAAGAACATATCAATAATATTCCTGTATTAAAGAGCTAATATACACAATGCTTGAAACTGCAGCACATCGTTTATCCTTCCTTTACACTAAATGAAAGGAAAAAGAAGAAAAATGTACTGGTCAAAATTAAAAGGGGAAGGTAACCATGTTTGTGAACATCAAATTCTTTCTGTATGTGTATGCTGCTCACATTCATACATTTAAATGCCAAAAGAAACCATTGCCATTGTCCAATCTAACCTGCATAATGCCAGACACAGAACCTCCCCCAATAGTGTCTACATAAAACTCCCAAATTTGTTTAAATGATAGCATATATTTTAGAAAAATATCCAGTCTTGATTTAAAGGCTTCCAGGGATAGAGAATCCATCATATCCCAAGGTGAGCTGTTCCTATAGTTAATGACTCTTCCTGCAAATCTACACCTCATTTCTATTCTGAATTTGGCTAGTTGTAGCTTCAAATCATTGGATCTCATCATGTATTTTTCTGCTGGATGGAACAGTTGTCAGCTATCAGAAATCTCTGCCTCCCAGAAAGTCCTCATACACTGTGATCAAGTCATCTCAAATTCTGTAGATGTTCTGTTGTGTTTCCATGATATACAAGTTTAGTTTAAAGTATTTGCTGATTTCAAGTTTGTTTGTATTAAGGATACGCAAAATGTAAGGAAATAGTGGAAATCAGACTCCTTATATCTGGCCTATGGTCATCTCCAGGAATCACAGACGGAAAATCAAGCTACAGTCTGTTATAGTTGAAAAAGCAACAGTTTCTGTTCACCCACCCCAGGAAAATAAAAGTACAAAAACCTTTGTGGCTAGGTCTGTTAATTTGACATAAAAAAGCACATACATTTCTTGTTTCCTAACAAGTTACACATGAATTCAGGTACTCCTGGGTTACTTACACTGCTGGACTGGTTGCTAGCATGTACTAGTTACTGGCTCAAGGTACCAGAGCATTTTCCCAGAATTCCCCAAGTGATTTTATAAATCAGACAATCTGCTTTATCTGCATTCATTCATCTCATTCTCAAAACAGTCAGGATTTTGTGTTTTCACAGAAGTGCGATGCCCATGTAAAAAATACATAAGCACTGAATAAAAATAGCCAAAACTTTAAAACTGTTTCCTGTAATTGTATTTTTTCCCTTTTGAACTTTAATCTTCAAGAAGCTAGACATTTGTGCCTGCGGCAAACAGCTACTCACTGTGGACAAGGAAGCAAAAATCTTTCCACATCAGTAACAGAGTGAGTTTTGTGAATCCTTCTGCATCATATTCAACCACACCACTATCAAAAAGAAACATGAAATAAGAACACAATATTTTTACCTAATATTCCTTACAATTATGATTAAAATAAATGTCCAATATTTAATATACTGCCTAGTATTTTGTTCTATTCAAACACAGATAACATATGGCTCCTCTCATACTGAATAACTTACTTATATCATATAGCCATCTTCAGTGTAACCAAGATATATTTTAACATTATGACCATGGCGCTTCCATAAAAAAAATAATAAAGATTGGACATGTCTACCCAAATCTAGCTGTATGTTACTCAAACACAGATTATTAATGAACTAGATGCATAAAATCTAAGACTTTATTGAAAAGCTAGGGACAAATAGCACAACATTCACTAATAGTTTAGGAAAAGACTAAATTTGAAAATTCCTATACCCACAGCATAAAAATATGTATTTTAAATTTAAGGAGAAGCTGACAAATGGGCATTTTCCCCTGAATCTGTGAAGAAAAGAATCCAGCTAACAGCAAATTAATTTCTATTTTCTTGATTCTTGATAATCATCCAGGCAAGGGACAGAAATTGCACATAAACCAGTGTAAGAGATTGGAAACTGGTTCAGATCTGTAACACAATGGAAGTTCAGTGCACATAAACCACTTTCAAAATGGCTGAAACCAGTTTAAGATAAACCTAGATGGATATAGACTTAACTAATTTAGCTTAAATTGGTTTATTGAACCTTTGTCCCAGATTCAGTCCAGATTCAAGCCATCTGCTCCAGCAGACCAAGGAGGCATCCTTTAGCACCCCCAGCTTCTGGCCTGGGCCACTGTCTGCATTTCCAGAATCGAAAGTGAATGTCTATTCACTCGCTTATTGGTTCTATCTACGCAGCTCAGACTAGCCTGCAAAGCTTTAATTGATTCAGCCTCAGGCTTTTTGACTGTCTGTACTTAGTCCCAGAGTAAGAAACTCATTTTTGCCAATCAAAATCAAATTACCACATTTGCTTTTTAACTATTTTTATATCACACAAACAATCTAATTGTCAAAGTAACATACAAGGAGCTAAATTATGGTTTTATGAACATCTTCTTCCTTAGACACATCAATAAGTCAAACCATACATGGGGGGAGGGGCACAGTCTCTAAAATCCTTTCACGGTATTAGAGCATGGCATCTAAAATGATCCAACCAAATAGTTTTTATACTTTGCTGTGTGAGCCATGTATATATTTTGATCATAAACATTTTTTTTTTACTTTGTAAACTCTGGGATGAGATCCCTAATGCTTGCATTCATGTGTAAACCATGGCAGAATTCTAGTGTAGCTCACTTTATTAGTGGGAAAATTAATTATTTTTGTCTAATAACTATGTTATAAAACCATGGTAAAAACATATGACAGGATTTTCAATAGTAAATCTTGTATTGAATAATTCTCAAGGAAAAAAACAACATGTTTTTAATTAGACCAGATCTCTAAAGTCTACATTAATTCCCTATTTGTACCTGGTTACAGTTCAAGCCATGGGTATCAATCTAAAAAGTGGTACATGGCTTTGGTAAATGCTCTACTTAGGTGCTACCGGAAGAGCTGCTCTACATTCATCTTTCATGTGATGTACCTTCATGATGATGCTAACTCTGTAGTTACCTTATACAGAACTAAAGAAACTTCAATTGATTCAATGGTTTACCACCCTCTCCTCATTTTAGGTCTTTCCTGAGTTGAACAGGTTGGTGGCTAGCTTCTAAGAGGACTGCTCTGTAGCATTATTACTAAAAAAAAAGCCTATGTGCATCTGATTGGGTATATGGCTAGATTTGGACTTATCCAGTAAAATGAATTACATAAACCAAGGGCCATGAAATGAAGATAGTCCTTGCCATGTTTTTGCTACTGTTGCAAGAAACAATGCACTTAAAGATGACTTACGTTCCAAAATGACTCAGGAAAGCTGCAATATACTCTCTTCTCTTATGGTATCCCTGAATAACATATTGTACCTGCACAATAAAAATGGTTTTAAAAGCTTCAGTTATGAAGTCATACCACAGAAAGACACTCCTCCCAAAGTATATTTTTTAGTTTTAGTGGAAAAATCTATTTACAAGATATTAATCATGTTAAAATGTACATTTAACCAGCATGTGTCATCCTTAAATGCCTTTCAAACAAACAGTATGAAGGGATGTCTTCATTTAGCTTAAAAGGTGTTTAAGAGTCTACAGTATTAATATTTAACCATGCAAGGTAAGAAATGACAAAGAGAAGACAATGACCATATCCAATTGAAATGGCAGAAAGGTCCTGATCCAACAAAATGTAACAGGCTGAATATGTTTCAGGGTTGTTGGTTGTAGCTGTGATGGTCTAAGGACATAGGCAGGCAAGGTTCTTTGAATACATGTGATATCTTTTGCTAGACCAACTGAAAAAATGTTCTTTGCAAGCTTTGGGCACAAATGTCCTTCAGGCACAGGGAGAGACTGCTGGTGTTATGTGTTCTCTAATGTGTTCTTTTTTACCTTGGAGAATACATAACACTAGCAGAGTCTCCCTATGCCTGAAGAATGGCATTTGTGCCCGAAAACTTGCAAGGAATGTTTTTTTCCCAACCATTCAGTTGGTCTATTAAAGGATATCACATCTACCCCCAAAGAACCTTGCCCACCTATGGGCTAAATAAGCATTTAAAAAGGATAACAAGATAACCACAAATAGTGAAGTTTGGTCTGGACCATGATCTTGGGTGTCATCTGAAAGACAATCTCCTGTACCTCTTACCTATGCTGTTTAACTGATTTCATGTTGATTCAAACAGGAGAGAGCCACATACTGAACAGTAAACACCAGTTTCTGAAGCATTCTGTATTTTCCTTGAAAGTCTTCCCTATGAGCAGTTATGCATTCCAAATATGCTAATCTTGGAAGATCTGAGGCAAAATGAGTTGTCTTATTGATTTGAATGAGATCATTCACAGAGAAGAGTGATCAAGGTTTGAGCAATACTGGAACCAATACACCAAACAAGCTGAATGAGCATTCAGTTTCCAACTCATCATTTTCTGCACTTTTGGATGTTTCCATTTTTAATCACGCACATAAATCCACATCCACTTTTCAGAATGAAAACTAACTTTTTAAAGCCGCTTTTCATGCTGAGTGAAAAATGAGTGGGAGAAAAATATATATTTTATTTTTGTTGGCTATGGTAACATTAGATTTCCTTGGCTTGCAACTGCTTGTACTGAATTATTTTAAATAACCTTGATAAAATCATTGCTGAGAGCTATGTTATACCTTCCCAGAGTAAAATAATTCTATTTATACAACAGACTTATTTCAGTTTATAAAAAAAAAGTGCTTATTTTGAAGGCTTTGTGGGGGATCTAAAATGTTATTTTGGGAAAAGGAAAACATGATAAGTTTGCTTAAGTGACTTTGTTTAAAAAAAGGATAAAAACAGTCCTGTACTTGTAGATTTTAAAAACAGAAAGTAATTTTAACAGAAAACCACAACAAAAACAACTCTAAAGATAGATTCCAGTATAATTATGGAAATGTATTTTAAAGGAACCTTTCCTAAAAGACATCATTTGTTTTCCTCATTTAAACAAATAAAAAAATACAAAGAGGAAATGTATAATAACCAGAATCCTGCATGTCTGACTCTAAGTTGGTCTTCTAAGTTAAAGGCTAAACTTAAATCATTTGAGAATTTTTCAAAATACTGTATCTTTATGAATAAACCTGTTCTCTTTTTTTTTTTGGCTGAAGCAGTAAGCCAATCAGAATACAGCTTTGCAGTAAAGGCAAAGTTAAGTGGCTATTACTTCAGTATATCAACATCCATTAGAGAAGATGATTCAGTCTATTTTGATGATTTATCATAGATAAAATTACTGTAATAGGAGCCTCTCTACCGTGCACAGAATCTCCAGTGATGAAAATGGTATAAAATCTTAAAGAGAGATTTGTCTTCCAGTAGAGAAATGTATTGACTATACATTTGTATTTATATAGAAGAACAGCAATATGTTGCAGTGACAATCCTAAATTATATCTTGATTCAGTAAGAAAGCCCAGGCAATAGTTCTACCTCAACAAATGTTCTGTACTTGCAAATAAGAATTCAGTAGGACAGGTGGGTGCTCAATGTTTCTCAGCATCCAGGTATAGGAAAGTATTACCTGAATCATATACTTGAATCATTCAGTTTTAAAAACCCTCTGTCTCCAGAATGGTTTCTTAAAGTGCTTTTAAAATTCAGTGGAACACCAAAAGAAAAGGGAAAAGGGAAATAAACTCACCTTATTAGTTAGCAGCTGGCAGACTTGGGGTACATAGTCAATAAGGCAGCCACCACTTGGAAAGGCTGGGATGTGAAGGGCAGATGATCCTCCCAGGGCACTAGAATAATATATCACAATACATCAGATACTGGTTCTCTGGGACTTGCTTGCGATTCTTGTACTCTATCCTTTCTTAATCTTCAAAACATGTACAATACCAAGAAAATACTTTAGCATTGCTTACATTACCCAGGACAATGTAATACCATATTTAGTTGCGTATCTCATGCACTTTTACCCCAAAAATCAACCCTCCAAATTTGGGGTTCATGTCTTAAGCAGGGAAGCTAATTTTCTTGCCAGAATAGAAGCAACCCACTTTGATTTCTGCTTTACCCAGCAGCAGCAGTAGCATTTCTATTCAGGCACCTGATGGAGTCAAGTGTCTTAATATAGTTTCATAGTTTCTAGGGTCGGAAGGGACCTGGGCAGATCATCTAGTCCAACCCCCTGCCATGGCAGGAAAGAGTACTGGGGTCAAACGACC